ACTGGTGGTGGCCCTGCAGGTGCGCGTGGTGGAGACCGAGCAGCTGTTCGCGGAGGTGACCGAGATGGCTGCGCTGCGGCGCCAGTGGCTGCGGGATGCCCTCGCTGTCTATCGCATGTTCGGCGAGGTGCACGCGTGCGAGCTGTGGATCGGAGAGAAGGAGCAATGGCTGCTTGGCATGCGCGTTCCCGACTCACTCGACGACGTGGAGGTGGTGCAGCACCGGTGAGCGCGCACTGTGGGACTCCAGGGTCCTCTTCCTCGCCTGTCACCTTCGTTGGTTCAACAGTTCTTGTATGAGCCCAGCTGGAATCAGGGTTCCAGTACAATGGGAATGATAGTCCCAACCCCACAAGTTGTGGTGAACAATAAATGAGCAACTAAGTATAGAACACTTAGCAAATGCCTGGGGACAGGGAGCGTTCCAGGAGCTGTTGCTGTTACTGCTAAGAGGCTTATAGTGACCTGGCCCAAAATTAGCCCAAGCTTCTCCTGGAACATCCCAGCCTGGGCCCTCCCCTGGGACTCCCACTACCATGTACACGTCACCTCCCTCGCCGATAAATTAGCTCTGGCCCTTGCCACTCTCTCTTGCCCTGCTTTACGGTTCTTCACAGCACTTACCGCCCTGTAGCTACTGCTTCGCCTGTTGGCTAACTCAGGAGTGAGCTAAATTGGTGGATGAACCCTCTGCGCCTCTTTCTCTGAGCACCTTGTTTATCCATTCATTCCCTCGGCAGGTACTTTCTGAACTGCTGCTCTGTTCTAGGTCTTGTGCTGGGCACTGCTGGGAACACAGGTCAGGCCCCTGTCCTTACTGTGCCCAGTTACCTGTGCCACAGCTTTGGGTATTGTTTTATTTCATATATTTCTTTATTGATTTCAGAGAGGACGGAAGAGGGAGAGAGAGAGAGAAACATCAATGATGAGAGAGAATCATTGATTGGCTGCCTCCTGCACGCCCCCTACTGGGGATAGAGCCCATAACCCGGCATGTGCCCTTGGACAGAATCGAACCTGGGACCCTTCAGTCCGCAGGCCGACACTCTGTCCACTGAGCCAAACCGGCTAGGGCGCGTTGGGTATTGTTTTAAACAAGGGAGGACCTGTCCAGCTTGAAAAGATCTTCCCGGCTGCTATATGGAGGGTGGGTTTGAGGGGTGACAGTGGTGCCTGGAAGCCCAAAGAGGCCCCTGGGGTGGGGACCCAGGTAGGAGGGGGCAGGACTAGACCAGGGCAGGAACCCAAGTGGACAGGCCATGAGGATAGACAGGCTGGGAGTGGGGAGTTGTCCAAAACAGGGCCCAGGGCTCTGGCCTGGTGGGTAGTGGGCTGTTCCTGAGATGGGGACCCAGAGGAAGTACCAATCTGGGGGGAGATACTGAAGTGAGTTTGAGTCACACTGGGAGTAAGGACCCCAAGGAGGTGTACAGCAGGCTTTGAGGTTGGAGACAGCTCAAAAGGAAAGAGGTTGGGGCAGGAGACTGAGATGTGGGGGGCATAAGTTTGGGAATGAGGACTGAGGCTGGGGAGAGGGTGAGATGGTCCAGGCAGGGTGTGAGGGAAAGCACAGAGGGCCCAGGACAGAGCCCTGAGGATCGGACATTTAAGTAGCAGGTAGAAAGAAGAGGAGCTGACAAAGGAACCTGGGAACTCAGGTGAGGTTGGAGAGTTGGAAGATCTGGGAGAAGGCAGTTTGATAAAAGGCAAAAAGTGGGCAGGTCCCCAGGGTCTAGGCCTCTCTGAAAATGTCCATCCTTTTTCTGCAGATTTGAGAGTCTGGACCAGGAGATGAACAGTCTGATGGGCCGTGTCCTGGATGTGAACCACACGGTCCAGGAGCTGGTGGAAGGAGGCCACCCCAGTTCAGACGAGGTGCTCTCCTGCCAGGACCATCTCAACAGCAGGTAGGGGCTGGACGTCTTTCCAGGTACCTCAAAACAGTTCTTTCCATCATTCCTTTCCTCATTCACTCGACCGCGGAAATCAAGAATGGACCATTTCAAACCTCTGAGGTGATAATGGCCTGGTAAATCACCCAAATTTGAAAAAAAAAAAAAGAGGTTAATTCCCAGGGCTAGTGATGATGTGATAAAATGAGGATATAGTACATTTCAGTGGGCTATTAATTTATTTGTTCAGAAATAATTTGTTGTATATTTAATATCTTCTGGAAATTTTTCTAAGCATTTTATACACTTCAGTTTAACTCTCAGTATTCCAGTTTCCATAGTAAAGATTCCAAAATTCAGGGCTCTTTAAAAATAGTAACAAATTAATACCTTTCTACCTAGAACACTACCAGCAATTCTCCCAGTGTGGGCAGGGTTCAGACGCAGACCCAGAGAGGTGAAATCCTTCACACGATTACTCAGTCTAGTAAGCTGGAGTCAAACCCAGTTCTGTCTGAATCCAGAGCTGGGCATTTGATTGTATTTATTTATTTATTTATTTACTAGTATTTCATCCTCACCCAAGGATATTTTCCCATTGATTTTTAGAGAGAGTGGAAGAAGGGGGAGAGACAGAGAGAGAAACACCGATGTGAGAGAGACACATCGATTGGTTGCCTCCTGCATATGCTCTGACCAGGGTTAGGGATCAAGCCTGAAACCGAGGTATGTGCCCTTGACCGGAATCAAACCCGGGACCCTTCAGTCTGCAGGCCCATGCTCTGTCTACTGAGCCTAACTTGCTAGGGCTTGATCACATTTATTCAGTCTTCCCAGCAACCCTGTAGGGTATAGATTACTCCATGTTAGAAAGGAAGAAACTGAAGCTCAAAAAGGTGAACACATTGGCCCACAGTCACACAGCAAATTAGAGAGTCAAGCTTAGATTTGAAGTTGGATTTGTCTGATTCCAAAGACTGTGCTCTTAACTGCTGTGCTATATGATAGCTATATCCAGTGATTGTATAGCCTTGTAGCCTTGCCAATGTGGAAGCATCAGGGCTTAAAAGGATAAGAAGAATGTTGCCGCCTTTAGTGAGATTGTATGCCAAGTGCTTTAGCCACGTGATCTCATTAACACTCAATGAGATGGACGTTATTATCCTGATTTTCTAGATGAGGAAAATGAGGGTCATAGAGGGAAGTGATTTGCTGAAGGTCACATGGCAAATCTGGCCAGAGCAGAACTTGAACTTGGGTCCTAATCTCTGCCTTTGTGGCATGTCCATTCTAGAGAGGGCAGAGAGTTAACAAACTAATACATGAACAGGCTATTTAGAGAATTGTCAGGATTCGTGCAGGAATTAGAGGACAGTGATCTGGCAGAGTCAGAGAAGAGCTTGATGTGTTCCAAAGAGCATCCTCACTCAGTAACAGCAGCAAACAGATACTGTTTGAAGCATTTCATAGATCAGAACTCATTTGACCCTCACAACACCCCTATGAGGCAGGTGCTATGCTATGATTGTGTCCATTTTACTGATGGGGAAACGGAGGCATAGAGAGGGTTACTAGCCAAGGGTACACATCTCAGATTTGACTCCAGGCCACCCTGCTAGGATCCTATGCTTGTAACCTGGACCACACACCATCTATGAAGGGGAACTCAGGCCAGAACAATGTCATCACTTGCTCGAGGACACAGAGCAGTACATAATTTTTCCATTAATTTATTTTGGAATAAAAACAGGTTTTCCTTTTGCATCACTCTGTCCTCAGCACCTGGTTCATGGTACCTGATCAATTACTTTTCATTGAACCCAACATATTATCTAATTTCATCAGCTAGCACTTCCCACAGGGCTGATGTCTTAGCTGAGATGACTAATGGTGTGTGGACTCTTCGGTCTCAGAACCTCTTTATACTCTTACACTCTATAACCCTCTTTACACGCTAAAACTCACTAAACTAAGTTATTTGCAGTCTTAACCCCAACTAATTTAATTTAGTGGGTTATAGCTATCAATATTTACTATATTAGAAATTAATGCCCGGTTGGTGTGGCTCAGTAAATAAATTGAGTAATTTAAAAATATTGTCATCTAAAAATAATACTAAACCTATTATGTTAATTTTTTCATGAAAAAAGCTATTTTTCAAAACAAAAGGTGTAGTGAGAAGAATGGCATTGTTTGACATTTTTGCAAATCTCTTCAATGTGGCTTAAAAGAAGGCAGCTGAGTTCTCGGGTCTGCTTCCGCGCTGGGTCTTTGTCCTGCAGCCTCTGGAAAACTCCACTGTGCACCCTGGAGACAATGAGAGTGCAAAGGCAGATAGCGTCTTAGCGTTGTTATGAAGATAGTCTGACCTCGCTCAGATTTCATTTTGAGAACCGCTGCTCTAAGCAAATGTGCGGGTAGGGTTCCATTTTTACACAGGCAGAAACTGGGCTCCGTAATATAAAGTCTTTCCAAGGTCACACAGTGGCTGGGTCCTACCCTGGGTCCGTGGGCCCTCCACACCCACGAGGCGGCCCTGTCCCCCTCGAGCCACCCTCCTTCCCTTGGGCAGATGGAACCGCATCGTGGAGCTGGTGGAACAGCGCAAAGAGCAGGCGAGCGCGGTGCTGCTGGTGGAGAACCACGTGCTGGAAGTGGCCGAGGTGCGTGCCCAGGTGCGCGAGAAGCGGAGGGCGGTGGAGAGCACGCCCCGCG